GCATAACTATTCATGCTCTAATGTTGGTGTTCAGTAACATTATGTATAATCCTTCAAGTTACCATATTGGTTTTCAGTAACTCAATATGTAACCCTTCATGCAATAATGTTGGTGTTCAGTTACTTGATGTATAACCTTTCATGCTATCATGTTAGTGTTCAATAACTCGTTATATAATACTCCATGCTACCTTGTTTGTGTTCACTAACTTGATGTATAATACTTCATGCTACAATGTTGGTGTTCAGTGACCTGGTTTATAATCGTTCATGCTAAAATGTTGGTGATCAGTGACTTGATGGATAATCTAAAATGCTACTATGTTGGTCTTCAGGGACTTAGTTTATAATCATTCAGGCTACCCAGTTGATGTTCACTAACGATGTATAATCCTTCATTCTTCAATGTTTGTGTTCTGTGATTTGGTGTATAACCCTTCAGTGTTCAATGTAGGTTTTTAGTAATTTATTGTATAATCCTTCATGTTGTCATGTTGATGTTTAGTGACTTGGTGAATAATTCTTTGTGCTGTCATGTTGATGTTCAGTGACTGGGTGTATAATTCTAATGCTGCCATGTTGGTGTTCAGTGACCTGATGTATAACCCTTCATTCTTCCATGTTGGTGTCTAGTGACGATGTATAATCCATCGTACCACAATGTTTGTTTTCAAGTGACTAGATGTATAGTCATTCATGCTAAAATGTTGGGTTAGGTGACTTTTTTTTTTTTTGCAGAAATATTCCTGCGCGGGCCTCTGACTGGCCCACTAAGTGTTGCTTGTTTCTGTTTTACTTGAGCGGAGTATGAGTATTTCTGACTCGTATGGTCGCTTCAGTAAGATTTTGCCATATGTGTTTAACAACTTCTTCTGCTCTGTTGAATCTAAGTTGAAATCTTAATGGGTTTGTATCTGTGCACTGTGTTAGATAATGTTCAAGTGGTCTGTCGGGCATTTCTCCAGTGTTGACATTGGTTAGGCGACTGGATGTATAACCCTTCATTAGGAAATTTTGGTGTTCAGTAACGATGTATAAACCTTCATTCTGCCATGTTGGTGTTCAGTAACTTGATGTATAACCCTTTATGCTAAAATGCTTGTGTTCAGTAAATTGGTATATAAACCTTCATGCTATAATGTTGGTTTTCAGTGACTTAGTGCATAATCTTTCATGCTGCCATGTTGGTGATCAGTAACATTATGTATAATCCTTCATGTTACCATGTTGGTTTTCAGTAACTCCATGTATAACCCTTCATGCAATAATGTTGGTGATCAGTAACTTGATGTATAATCCTTCATGCTATAATGTTAGTGTTCAATAATTTGTTATATATTCTTCCAAGTTAACTTGTTGGTGTTCCTTAACTTGATGAATAATCCTTCACGCTGTCATATCTGTGTTCAGTGTGACTCTCTGTATAATCTTTCATGCCAAAATGTTGGTGAACAGTGACTTGATTACTTGATGAATAATCCTTAATGTTACCATGTTGATGTACAGTGACTTAATGTATAATCCTTTATTCTGCCATCTTTGAGTTTAGTAATTTGATGAAGAACCCTTCTTTATTCTATGTTGGTGTTCTGTCTTTTGATGTATAATTCGTCAAAAATATGTTGGGTTCAGTGACTCGATGTATAACCCTTCAATCTATCATGTTGGTGTTCAGTAACGACGTATAATCCTTCGTTCTGCGATGCTGGTGTTCAGTAAGTTGATGTATAATACTTTATGCTGCTGTATCCTGAATGAAGACTTGATATATAACCCTTCATGCTATAATGTGGGTGTTCAGTGGCTTAGTATATAAATTTTAATGAAATGAAGTTGGTATTCACTAATTTGATGTATAAGTTTTCATGCTACCATGTTCGTGCTCAGTGAATTGATGTATAACCCTTTATGTTGAAGTGTTGGTGTTCAGTGAATTGGTGTAAATCATTCAAACTATAATGTTGGCGTTTAGTGACTGGATGTATAAGCCTTCATGCTACCATGTTGGTGTTCAGTAACTTGAAGTATAATTTTTCATGCAATAATAAGGGGGTTCATTAACTTCATGTATAATCTCTCATGTTACCATCTTCGTACTCAGTTAATTGATTAATAGCCATTCTTTCTACGGGGTTAGTGTTCAGGAACTTGGTATATAATCATTCATGCTATAATTTAAGTGTTCAATGACTTGTTATATAATCTTTTATGCTACCTGGTTTATTTTCAATAATCCAAATTTAATCTTTCATGCTTGAATGTTGGTGTTCAGTGAATTGGTGTATAATTCTTCATGTACTGTTGGGGTTTATTGACTTTGAGCATAATCCTTCGTACTATAATGTTGGTGTTCAGTAACGTGATGTATAATCCTTCATGCTTTCATGTTGGTGTTCAGTAACTTATTTATTATTTTTCCTACAATACATATGGTGATCATTAACTTGATGTAAAATCCTTCATGATACCATGTTCGTGCTCAGTTAATTGATCTTTAACCCTTCATGTTACAAGGTTAGTGTTCAATGACTTGGCGATTAATCACTCATGATATAATGTTAGTGTTCAGTAACTTGTTATATAATCCTTTATGCTTCCTTGTTTATGTTCAATAATTTATTGTATAATCATTCATGCTTCAATGTTGGTGTTCAGTGACTTGATGCATAAGAAAATAAGAATAAAAAGCAACTGTAAAAGGCCTATTGGCTTTTACGAGGCAGCTCCTATTTATATACACCAAAACTCCTTTATAGAATCATTCATGTTGCAGTTCTGGTGTTCAGTGACATGATATATAATCCTTCAGGCAACCACGTTATTGTTCAGTACCTTTGTTTATAATTCTTTTTGCTTCCATGTTGGTATTCATTTATTTAGTGTGTAACCCTTCATTCTGCCATGTTGGCGTTCAGTGACTGGATGTATAAGCCTTCATTCTACCTAGGTGGTGTTTAATGAATTGATGTATAATCTTTCATGCTACAATGTTGGTGTTCAGTGACTTGCTGAATAATCACTAATACTACTATGTTGGTCTTTAGTGACCTGGTGTATAATTATTCATACTATAATTTAAGTGTACAGTGACTTGGTATATAACCCTTCATGCTACCTTGTTGGTGTTCCCTAACGTCATGTATTATTCTTCATGCTTTAATGTTTGTGTTCAGTAACTTGGTTTATAATCCTTTAGTGTACAATGTCGGTGTTTAGTAATTTGGTGTATAATCCTTCATGTTGCCACGTTGATGTTTAGTGATTTGCTGAATAATTCTTTATGCTGTTATGTTTGTGTTTAGTGACTTGATGTATAATCCTTAATGCTCTCATGTTGGTGTTCAGTAATGTGATTTATAATCCTTCATTTGCCAAGTTGGTGTTCATTGACTAATTGATACATGCTGCAGTGATGGTGTTAAATAACTTGATGTATAATCTTTAAAGGTACAATGTTGGTGTTCAGTGATTTCGTGTATTATCCTTCATGTTGCCATGTGTTACAGCATTATTGGGTCGCAACCGGGTTTTTCTCTGACGTTATTAGAGTTTGGGTATCCGGCCCCAAGCTAGTAGTGGCTTTCAAGGTGTGAGTTCCATAACGCAAGTTAAATTAAAGGGGAAGGGATACAAATGCACTGCTTTTGTATATATATTGCTACCACCACCATAAATATATCAGTCACACACGGGGTTGCTATAACTACACTTTTTATATACAGATTAGTCTTCCTCTGAAGACACAGGATGCTCCACGGTGCTCAAGATGAGTAGCCCTGGTTTTCTTCTTTGTGGCCCATGATGAATCCTCTGATTCTCTCGGCGAATCTACCCCGGCCACAGGCCAGCCAAATCAAAGTCCCACTGGGTGCACCGTCGTGGAGGCCTTCAACCACAAATCCAGCCTGTAGCTGGCAGGTTCCGATCAGCTCCGCTGTGTAGGCCACTCCACGACCGATACTAGGGTTGCGAGCCCTAGGCAGGAGCCTCGTGTGATTCCGCAGATCACTCTCCTCTCTCTGCACCACAGTGGCTAGTCTCTTCCACCAACCAGCCCCCAGATAAGACGATCCTGGTACTGCCACGTCACAGGCAGGCTAACACACTCAACAGTGTTCGTCCGGGGGTGACTCACAGCTTCTGCAGCAAACACGTGGAGAGACTTTGGCTGCCTTGGGTAGACTGCCTCATCGTCGAATACAGCAGTCCCAGGTCGACTCTGTAATTAGACACGTCATTAGTGTTGGGTACACTCTAGGGCACCTCACTTACAGGCTTAGACACAAACGTCCACCTATCCACTCCATGTGGGTTCAAGCTCACTCCATCCAAATGAGTGGAATCGTAGCAATACTCCTCCCATCGTTGGTGACTTTTCTGCAAACCCCGGCCTAACAATTCCAATACCTACTACTCCATTGCAGTTTATACAATTATTTTTCACTAGAGCGGTGGTGGAATATTTAGCGTATGAAACCAATTTGTATGCCACACACATCATACATCTGATGGCTGTCTCAGCAAGAAAAACATGGAAACCAGTGTCTGTGAAAGAAATGGCCCGATATTTGGCCCTGTGCATACTGATGGGGATAGTGAAGCAGCCTACAATGAGGATGTACTGGCAGACGAATCAGATGTGGCATTGTCGATTCTTCAACTTGTTTATGTCGTCTGCGCGGTTCCTACATATTTCTAAGTTCTTCCACATGTATAACAAAAAAGGTGTTCCAGTGAATAATAGTGACCGATTGATAAAAGTTAGACCACTAATGGAATATTTTACCGAGAAATTTGCGTCTGTATATATCCCCAAAAAAGAATTGAGACTCGATGAGGGTACAATGCCATGGCGTGGCCGCCTCTCTTTCAAGGTCTATAATCCAAACAAGCCTGATAAATATGGTGTAAAATTTTATATGTTGGCCGAAGGGACATCAGGATACATATATAAATTTGATGTGTATTGTGGAATTGAAAAAACGACAGTGGAAACCGTGATGGGGTTGATGGCGCCCCTAGTCAACAAGGGTTATCATCTGTATATGGATAACTACTATAACTCAGTAAGCCTAACAGAAAAATTACGTGAAGTGGGTGTTGACACATGTGGCACACTTAGACTCCAACGTGGCGCCCCCAAGGATCTGCAACAACTGGTAAAGGGTAAAATGGCAACCGACACGACCCTACACATGCGTAAGGATAACACCTTTGTTATAGTTTGGAAGGACAAGCGCCCCGTCTCTGTCATCACCAATATCCACAATGCCGACACTACTGAAGTACAGCGCAGGAAACGCGTTCGCAAACGTGACGGGAGAACTGGAGTCGAAATTGTGAAAATGAACAAACCAAAGACCATAGTTGATTACAATAAGTTCATGAAAGGTGTTGATCATTTCGATCAAATGGTCAAGTATTATGAGTTTGCAAGAAAAACGCACAAATGAACCAAGAAGATCACTTTTTATTTTCTGCAAATGGCCCTGCACAATGCATACGCATTGTATAGCAACTACTCCACAGACACAAAAAAACTAACATTATTAGAGTTTCACGCAATAGGAATAAAAGCCTTATTGGCGTGGAACAGCGAGGACTGGCCAACAACAACAAGTATACCCCATGTTCCCGACATAGATGCCAACGTAGCTCCTCCTGCTGACGCGGCAGTTTCAACACCCGGGCCATCTGGTGCGAGGCGGCCTCTTTTCACCTCAACACCTCAAGCCCAGTCATCGACAACAAATTCTGAAATGGACATGGATGACATAGAACCACTAGACGTTACGGATATTACAGAAGATTCTGCTACAAGTGTAGTTGTTCCTGAAGAAGACAATATTACTCCAGCTCATCCAAGAAATAGAAGAATTATCGATTCAGAACAACGTCTGAACTACAAGTTGACGCACGAAATCCTTACCTAAAACCTGCCTAAAAAAAGAAGATGCCGTGTTTGTTACAAGTCTGGCATAAGGAGGGACATGAGACTTGGATGTAAAACTTGTGATGTGGCACTGTGCGCTGTGCCTTGCTACACAAGGTACCACAGAAGAAAGATATTTTGGGTAGAGAAAAAATAACCACCGGCAACAGCTTCACTCCACCTAAGAAACATCAGCTGAGCAACTTCAGGATCTGAAGCCTGAAGATGGTGGAGTGAAGAAAAAATGCTCAACTGTTGATCTTCAATCAACATAGACACGGTAAGTACATTATTTGGAATTTTTTATCATCCATAAGATATTATATTATATACGTATTGTAGAGAATTTATTCGCGAATTTTTTGGTACCAGAATGAATATTATATCACATAAACTTTTAACAAAAAAGAAAAAAGAAAAAAAGTACAAAGTATTTTGGGGGTGTGGCTCTGGGTGTGGCGGCCGTGTGGCAGTGGGTTCCCTTTAGCCGTTGATATTGCCAAGACGTGGGAAATATTTGTATGTGTTATGTATATGTCTGTGTAGTCATTGCGATCATTGTCATACAAATAATAAAGTGTTTCAACAAGTATAAACATGAGAAACATCAAACGAACGAAAACATTGCGTTTGTTTTTGCCGCGAACGCATACTGAGCGACGTGGTTTTATATTTGGCGCTTCTCGTACACATGCTTTGTACAATTTTTATACCTTTCCTCTTATAGAAAATTTTATTGCGCACACATTGCTATAAAAAAGAAATACGTAAGTAAAAAGTAGTAAAAAAGTAAGGTCAGGACACGTATAAATGTATAAAAGTGTACACTTTTTCGGTCTTACCGCGTAGGCGCGCGAACCGCCGAAAGCACCTAGGGTATGATTTTTTCTGAACACTGAGAGTGTGAAAGTGATAATTATTAATGTTCTGTGACTTTGTTTATAATCTTTATGCTACCATCTTGGTGTTCAGTGAATTGGTGTATAATCCTTCATAATATGATGTTGGTGTTCAGTGACGGTGACTTGATGCATAAGACCGCACCTGACTGGTGACAGCACCTGACTGGTGACAGCACATGATCGGTGACTGCATCTGACTGGTGACAGCACCTGACTGGTGCATTGGTGTATAACCCTTCATGCTATCTTGTTGGTGTTCACTAACTTCATGTATAATCCTTCATTCTTCAATGTTTGTGTTCAGTGATTTGGTGACTGTCACCTCGCCGACTTCGTACATGTAACTTAACACAATAATAAAATATCGACGTTCTCACCTTGCATTGTGTCAGGCATTTTACATGAATCCATGCACCTCTCAAGCAATAATGATGTCCTCACGACCCTCTCAATCAAGTTCGGATGATCACTACTCGGACCATCCGTCAGTGAGTCTTCAAATTAAGTAAGTACTCCTGCAGCTTTTATGCCACTGTTACATCAATAATTGACGAATCCCGTCCACCAAATACCACTGCTACCTGAAGTTCTACCAAATACGAAATCACACCAAACTCATGAAGTTCCACCATATACATAAAGTTCCACTATGTGGGAACCGACCTGTGAGATTTATATTTATCTAATTTATATGAATTTATATAGAATTTATATTTACGTTCATTTATATATTTCGATAGCAATTTGTATGATGTTTAGCAGACTGTATTTCTGCAATTATTCTCACAAATCGATCCTTACATATTAGGGGAGTTTATATATTTATCTATCTATATATATATATATATATATATATATATATATATATATATATATATATATATATATATATATATATATATATATATATATATATATAACGTCGTGCAAATTATACAAATAAGTGTAATACACTCTATAGTAAATCACTTCTTTTCTTCACCTTAAAAGTACGAAAATGAGTTTTGGAGAACTCCTATTTCAATTAAGCCCTGATGCTAAGAAAATAGTTAGAGGGATAGAAGCCCTAAACCAGAAATAATTAATACAGAATATATATATATATATATATATATATATATATATATATATATATATATATATATATATATAGTATATATATGCAGTCAATTAAACTACAGTATTAAACTACATATATTAGCAAATAACTTGGTGGTGCCTTATCTTATTATATAGCAGGCTTAGTCCACCAGGTATAACTGGGATGTAGACACCAAATTATCCTCTTGAGAGGCTAGCTTCCATCACCCAAGTAACTGATGTACCAAGATTAATTTTTGCTTCCTCTTCTTGTTCCTGTCAAAGGGCACTAGCTGTAAAGCCGGAATCCTAATATATGACAGCTATATCAGATGAAATATTTATATATTATTAGATAAGGACCAAGGACTAATTACCTGTGTTTAGTGGCTTGTCTAGTGTCCTAACCGGTTCGCCCTATATCTACTTAACATTAACTGGCCAGAAATGATTAGATAAACGGGCTTTGGTAAGACACTTCCCTTGTTTAGATGTTGACTGCGTGTTGATGATGGAAGAAGCACTAATTTGATCTCCATAACACTTCGTCCAAAGGAGAATTTATAGGAGCTGAATTTGCTCCAGCCACTATGTTCTTAAGAATGGCTGACCTCCCTCTCCACTGACGCTTCTGGCTCTCTTTGTCTAGATGTCAATAAGTGATAGAAGGGTCACATTTACTCTATTTTAATACTGATGGTTAAGTTAATTCAAATGAGATATTTTTATGATGTAATAAGTCCAAAGACTACTGTATTTAAGAATAATTCCCAACAGAATAGCTGGTGAATTTATAGTACTATGTAGCAATGATATCCCGTTTTCTATTGACGGAAAATTCCCCTACAAGCTACATTTTCTATGGGTTAACTTGTGTATACAACACAGCAGCAATATTATCTGCTTATTGTAATTTAATATTAGTAAATGGTGTCGGGTTTTCCGACACCATACACATGAAGTTTCACCGTACACATGAGGTTCCACCATGTGGAACCGTAGGATAATACACCAAGTCTTAATACTGAATACATCGTCACTTGATGTATACATCAAGTCACTTGATGTATTCCACCATACACATGAAGGTCTAACATGTATATCATAGACCAAAAAGTTATATATTATACATGAAATTCACCATACACAAACTCATACACGAAGCTCCCCACACACGAACTGTAATTTCATTTCCACCCAATCAAAACATAAATAATATATACAAACAAATTTCACCTTACAATGTCCTTCTCTGTGCACCGATCTGTACTGCGGGGTCCTCCCCTATATGTGTGAGATTTTTCTCTACGCCTACCTCCCTTAAGAGGTGGACTACAAGTTTAAAGTCTACTCACGGCAGTTAAGCATGAGTCCAGTAGAAAAAGGAAAAGCGGGAGCAAACCGCCAGGCCTCCACCACCAAGGGTGAAAACCTGTCCACAATAGGCCGCTGGCTCCTCCTAGTTAAACAGGACGTTAAAACTAATAAAGGGTAACCGACGGGTTCTCACAATCAAATATTTATATTTGATGTGGCGCTATGAATTGGAATTCGAATTCCCAAGAACAGCCGCCTTATCAAGATCACATCAACATTTAATAATAATATGCAGAAATATGGTGGAATAATATGGTTGAAGGGTTGACATCAAAGACTGTTTTCTATAACATAACAATTGGTTAATAACAAGAGACTAACTACTACATTACCGAGTTTACATTACGTTAATGTCAATCCAGTGGCACGATAACAAAAAATGACAACAAAATAAAATGAAATAAATGAAAAAATGATAACAAAATATGGTGAATGTCATTAATTAACTGTCACCAGGACCGATAATTAATCATCCATAAATACGTCTCACTCCGCACTGCCTAAGCAGGTCTCATCAAACACTGTGAATTCACGGGAAAGGAGTTAATTACCCTAATTAACAAGATGTGCCAATAATCCACTGTCCTCAGACAGGATATGATTAATACAACGATTTATGCTAGCTCCATGACCTCGCTTTACCGAGTCACCGGAGCTCTCCAATGCTAATTACTCCACTAATTAACATGAGCCACTAATTGCTATACCCCTGAAAGGTAATTAGTCTCGAGCATATTACGTTAACACAAGTACTGACAGACTCTGACAGATCCTCTCCCACTACGTGAATTCATGATGAGAAGGCTAATTACATAATTAGCTAGAGTGGTCAATTAATTGTCACATGGACAATTAATTGCTCTCGAGACGTATCTCATTCTCGCTCAACACTGTTCTTTCTTAACAGCCCCCACTCACCCCACAATACTAAGTGTGCACCCCTTATCCAGTTAATTACCCCTTAATTAACTCACTGAATCCTTAAGTCCTCAACATAACTTAAAAAAACAAAGTAACCCCAGCGTTACATAGGTCACACTACAATGGCATGCAACATCATAACAGCACTGCCCACATATGATTGCGGCTACTGCAACTCGCTAATTACTGTGCCCACACAATAATGACCCACGGTTGTGCAACACACCAAAGTATACTAATA